TTGCGCTCCTCTGGTCTGCTATTGGGTGTCTGTATAATATTCTTTATTTCAGTCCGTGTATGCTTAATTTCTAGTTGGTTCTTTATCATAGCATCGAGGGTCTCATTAGTTTTCGTGACTCTCTCCTCAAGTTTATTGACAGCTTCTAGCACATTTTTGCAAGCCCTCAAAATTGCGATTTTTAGCTCTATATCCTCCATTTCTGTCATGTTTTTTTGTCTCCGCATTTTTTATGCTTTCTTGGTGCACCCTCTAGTGGTCTTTGTGCGCAGTCTTGTTCTAGTTGAGCCTTGATTGTTGTAGTTAATACTAGAGGGATTTGACCACCAGGCCGACTGGCTGTGTGAATCAGCTGTGTCTGCCGCGGAAAACTTCTGTCCTCTGGGGAGGTGCTAATCTAGCCTTTGCCTGAGGCGATCTGGCAAATGGCTCTGCGCAGGGCTTGGGCGGGGCGGGCTCAACAGGGCGGGCGGAGGGAGCCGTTATGGTGCCCTCAGTCCTGTTCCCAGAGGCTCTGCTTCTCAGAACCCCCGGAACCGCTGCAAACCTCGGAGGGAAAGCTGCCTTCCAACTGATGCCAGACACTCCCGCTTCTCCCGTTTGGGTCCGAGTCCCCAGCGATTCGCCCGTATCTGGAGCTCAGAGTCTGAGACTCCCCCCTGACCGAAAACGACAACCGCGCTCTCAGCCACCAGCCCGCTTTGCGCGCGCACCTCCGCACCTGAGTTTTTTCCACACTGCGCCTCCTCTGAGCCTCGGTGTGCTGTTGTCTTTCCTTCTAGTTGAAGAGTCTCTCCTCAGCCAGCCTTCCTGTGGTTCTGGGTGATGTCCGTTCCGTCTTTTAGTTGTATGTTTGAAGTGGTTGTTTGCGGCAGCAGTCTCCCGTGTTAACCTATGCCGCCATCTTGGGGCCGATCTGTTTCCACTTTTTGGCCATTATGAATAATGGCTGTTATGACATACTTGTAGAAAGTTTGTGTGGAAGTATGTTTTTATTTCTCTAGGAATGGATGAGTCATATAGTAACTGTTTCACATGTTGAGGAACTGCCGAATTGTCTTCCAGAGGGGCTGTATATGTGTGAAGGTTCCAATTGCCACACATCCTCTCCAGCACTAGTTTTTGCTTTTTGATTAGTATATAGCCAACTACTGGGTATGAAGCGATATCTCATTGTGGTTTTGATTTGCTTTTCCTTGATGAGTAATGATGTTGAGCAGCTTTTCATGTGTTTATCAGCCATTTGTGTATTGTCTTTGGAGAAATGTCTGTTCAAATATTTTGCTCATTTTAATTTGTTTTTTGTTAATCCTCACCCAAGGATATTTTTCCCATTGATTTTTAGAGAGTGGAAGGGAGAGAGGAGGGTGAGAGATCCAAGAGATCGATGTGAGAGAGACATGGATTGGTTGCTTCCCAAAGGCACCCCCACCTGGGTTGGGGATCAAACCGAAGTATGAGGTATATGCCCTTGACTGGGAATCAAATCCATGACCCTTTGGTCCCTGGGCTGATTAGCTCTAACCACTGAGCTAAACCAGCCAGGGCTATTTTGCTCATTTTTTATTGGGTTATCTTTTTGTTACTGAGTTGTAATATTATTTAAAAAAATATTTTGGATGTCTCGTTAGGTATGTTATTTACAAATATTTTGTCATTCTTTGGGTTGCCCTTTCATTTTCTTGATGGTATCCTTTGACCAACAAGTTTTTAATTCTGATGAAGTTCAATATATCAGTTTGTCTTTGGATGCTTTGTGCTGCTGTTGTATCTAAGAAAGCATTGCCTAACCCAAGGTCACAGATTTATTTCTTTTTTCTCTTAGGAGTCTTAGCTCTTAGATTTCAGTCTATGATCCACTTTGAGCTAAGTTTTGTTTGGTGTGAGATAGGCATTCAGATTCTTTCTTTTGCATGTGGATATCCAATTGTTCCATAATTGTTGAAAAGGCACTAGTATTTATATTTAAATTTTATTTATTGAGAACACAGATTGCAGAGAATAGTATAATGAACCTGCGTGTACCCATGTATATCCAACTTTAGTAGTTATTATTCTGTCATTCTTCTTTCATTCAACCCTAATCTTTTTTCTTTTTCTTTCTGGAGTATTTTAAATACAATCCCATTATTTTTAACAGTTCTCCAGGTGGTTATAACATGCAGCCAATGTCAAGTTACTGTTGGAAGAGAATTATCCAAATCTTGTCACATAAATATATTTAGAAACCATTTTGAAATTCACTGTTCATTTAGAAGAGGGAGCTAAAGGTTACCCATTTAAAAATATTAAATATTTTAATACTTAAATCTAGTTGAAGATTCTGATCTGATCAAAATCATTGCCTTTCTTGGCTGTTAACTGGCTTTTCAAAATCAGGGAGTAAGTCATTCCCTTAGTCAGTTTTCATCAACATGTAACTGCTATCGACAACCCATCAGTACTGCAGACTGTTCCCTGTTAGATGAATCACACTTCAACATAACATATTATTGCTTCTGTGGCCCCTTTTCAGTTCCCTCTGCTGCCTAACTTCATTTTGTCTTCTAGGTATATCCCCACCGCAGCTGCATTCGGCGGTTTGTGTATTGGCGCCCTGTCAGTGTTGGCTGACTTCTTAGGGGCCATTGGCTCTGGCACTGGAATTCTGCTCGCAGTCACGATTATTTATCAGTATTTTGAAATATTTGTTAAGGAACAGGCTGAAGTAGGTGGGATGGGTGCTTTGTTTTTCTAAATGTTCCAATACTTCTGTGTGAAGGGAAAACATTTTGACACATTGTTTTTGTCAAATAATGCTGACTCTCCATTTCTCCCCTCATTTTTTTTTTTTAAGTGCTAACTGTCCCATTTCTGAAATGGGCACCGAACTAAGCCTGTGTGCAGCATTAGTACCAGCTGCCTTAAAACTGAAGTTTACATTATTCGTTAGGAAATATACATGTAGTTTGCCTGTGATGCTGGAAACCAATGTACCTGCCTTGCCGTGTTCAGTTTTGACGGTGAGGTAATGTGGATCAGTTTTGCACACATTCAAAACACTCAGTATTTCCCCCACTTGTTTAAAAATAAATACAGTTCAAATTGCCACTTTCCAGTATTTTGGGCTGATCTCTATTTTAGATATAATTTTTATACTTTCTGTGTAGTATCCATGTTCCAGCCCTCCCTCTTCATCCCTTCTCTTTTGTCCCTTCTCAAAGCAGCCACTTAGCCCAGATGGGCAAAGTGAAGCTTCTTCAAGCTTCTGTCATTAGAAAAATTGCTTGTAACTACTGTTCATGTTTTCCATTCTTTCTTCCCAGTGACAGCACGGTTGGTGCTGTTTTTGCTGTATTGGCTATGCCTGTGAATTCCAAGTCACTTGAGAAAGCTCTTTCAAGATACTGTGCTCCAGTTGTGTTTTTCTTTTTTTTAAATCCTTAAAGCAGAGATCTAATTCTCAAGCAATGTCTGTAGTTCAGTGGGGGTGAACAATGAGTAATTCATGCTAGGAATCTGTGTACGTTGTTGTACTTTGTAGCAGCAACATGAGTGTAAACAGTAGACAATAAACTTTTATTTAATACAACTGTTTCAGTTGTGTTGGAAAAATAAAAAAAATCTGAAATTAAATGCTTTGTGTAGGTTTATTGTATTCATACAAAGTCTATCCCGAGATGCCTATTGCAAGAGGTCAAATGTAATTAGTTTAGTGCATAATCCTAAAATATTGAGGGACAGTGACCAACTTAAGGTTGCTCAGTTATGTCACTAACATTTGGAAGCAGGAAAACAGTGGTCTTAAATGATATCCCAGCCCCCATTTGAAATAGCAGTTCTTTATCAATAATTCACTTTTAGAGCATGTGTTTTATTGTTCAAAAAGAGAGCAGACTTAATTTTTGAAAAGCTTCCTTTTCAGAAGTATGGTTTTCCATCGTTGGAAGTGTATCTTACTTAGCTTCTGATCACAAAGCCAAATAACTTACAAGGGCAAGGCAGGACAGCAAGGATGGTCAACCATCTTTGGGCTGAAGACCAGCCATAGAAATAGAGACCTGGTGTTATATCTGATTTTTTTTTTCCCCAAGAGAAGGTAAAAAATAAGGCTTTTATGGGAAACCTTCTAATTTTAAATTGACAAATTAACAGTGCCAGCCGATGAAAATGTTCAGACTGCAAGTTCTCAAACTAATTTCCAAAGCATAGTCTTTGATGTTTATAGATAATGTAAGTGGCATTAGGGTTATGTTCTAGGATTTAGCTGTCACTTCTACATTGCACTCTTAGGAGGAGTAAAAAAACAGGACAATCGGGTTATGCATATCTCTTCATTAAGAGTTAAGAGTATGTTTCTCAGTTCCCATGGGAGTGGGTCAGGAAGAGCTGCTCTATTTGGAGAGACAGGTCTTAGCTAGAGTCTGTACTTTACATATGCCTTATTTCTTGATTTTGAAGTAGGGTAATAATAAGGGAAATTAGAGGACTTGGTCCTTGAGAGGGAAAAGGTTAGGATCTCTGGAGAATTATGATGCCCATGTTTAAAACATGATCTCACTCATGTGGAATCTAATGAACAAAATAAACTGATGAAGAAAATAGATCCAGAAGACACAGAAGCACGGAACAGACTGAAAAATCTCAGAGGGAAGGTGGGGGTGGGTGGATGGGTGGGAAGAGATCAACTAAAGAACTTGCATGCATGTATATACACATAACCTATGGACACAGACAATAGGGTGGTGAAGGCCTGGGGCAGGGGGTGGGGGCGGGCTGGAAGAGGTCAATGGGGGAAAAAGAGGGGCATATATAATACTGTATTTTTAACAAAGATTTAAAAAATCTGTATCTGTAAGAAACAAAAAGGGGTGGGGGTATAGCACAAGGGAAGGCTACATTAGAGCAGGTAGTTGGGGCTTAATTTTCACAGTATATATTGGGAGAGTAGACTTGATCTATGCAGTTTTCTGATTCTATAATTCTATCCTTAGGTATAATTTAATGGTCTTATATTTAGGTTCATCAAAGTATCTGGAAAAGAGTGAACCTGTAGACAGATGAACTATATTGCAGCATTTTTGGCATTAGTACCCTGATTTTATCTGGTTCTGAGGGGCCTGGCTAAACCCCTGGGTCCAGAGCTCAAATCATGACTTAGGGCTGGCCGGTGAGAATCATCCTGAGACTTTTTCTGGGAGCTAAGCTGAAAAAACAGTGATCCTAGAGTTGTTGGAGGCCATACAGTCAACCCAAGAGCCTTGGCTCAGGAGGTAAGGAGATGGCCCAGTAACCCTGGTAGACCTTTTGGATGACAGGCATTAGGCATGGCATGAACCAGAAACAACCCTGTTTTTTCCTTTAAAGTAGTTTATAATGGGTTTCTGGTACTTGTTAACCTTGCTGGCTGCACTCATAGTTGAATACCAAGACAATAATGCCCCAAACTATGTAAATCTTACTACCATGGATTTGGTGTTTTAGAACTTCAAGTTACTTTTTTGAGGTAAGGATAGGAAATGAGATTCTCAAATGTGTCCACATGCTTTAGAGCAGTGGTCGCCAACCGGTGGTCCGTGAGGTCCGAAAGGTTGGCAACTGCTGCTTTAGAGGGAAGGGCCTTGTATTTTCATTAGCCTCTTAACTTTCTTATAGTGAATGAAATTAACCATTTTTCATTACTTAAGTAGTAGGTAGATATAATGACAATAGCTAAATGTAAACACTGGCCTATGAATGTTACTCTATGGGTTTTATATCCTTTGCTACACAGATTAATTCCATATAGCAGATAATTCAAATAGGAGTCCCTATATTGGTTTCCTTTAAATAATGTAATGGTTTCTTTTAAACAATATAATTTGTCTATACTCAGCTATAGAATTTTTTGTTGTTAATCCTCACCAGAGGATATTTTTTCCACTGATTTTTAAAGAGTGTGTAAGGGAGGGGAAAGACAGAAAGAGGAAATCGATGTGACAAAGACACACGGATTGGTTACCTCCTGCAGGCAGGGCCTAGGGATCAGATTGAGCCTGCAATTGAGGTACAGCCTTGACAGGAACTGAACCCGTGACCCTTCTGTTCTAGGGTCAACGCTCTAACCACTAAGCAAAATCAGGTATGCCATCGGCTATAGAATTTTATGTTGGGAGTTTGAGGTAGGAGTAGTTGACCTAATTTAGAATTCAGGTTTCTTCTAACCCCTATTTCTTGGATTAGGTTAGATAACAGTTGAAGTTAAAAAAAAATGGATTAAACATATTTGCATTTAGCATTTAAATGAAGGCAATAGCCTACCTATAATTATAATTCCATACCACCACATGCATTTTTTGTTGTTCTTATTTTATGAAAAAGGTAATTTTACATTTCCATCAAACTTAGCTGAATACAAAGTCTTAGTGAAGGAGACCTTATGGCCTCATTTATAGAACAAAAACATGGCTACTCTCCTCTGGCCTCAAAATTTCAGGAAGGGCACTTCAAATGGCTTGGTATTTGCATGTTTCAGCGCCAGAGCATAGGAATAGACCCTAGCATCCACTGTCAGATGTTCTTCAGTTACCAGTGCTACAGGAAGCAAAGGAGACAAGTTAGACAATGATGTTAATAAAAGATAATACCCCCCTTGTCACTCAATCAATATTTACTAGGCAATTACTATATACCAGTCCCTATGCTAGATGCTGGTAATACAGTGGTGAACAAGACATTTTTTGCCTTCAAAGATCTTACTCTAGTGGAAGAATAAAGGATATAAAAGCAGTTATATTCCAGTTTGGGACAAGAACAACAAAAAATTAAGAATAAAGATAGAAGAGCATACATATCAAAGATGATGATTTTGTGTGTTAAAATAGCAAAGCTTTATAGATTCACTTTTTCATTTATAGCTCACTATTGGACTCTGCTACTATGAAGCTATATAGTTATGAATACTCAGTTATTTATTGAAGATCCATTCGTGTCTTTCCCGCTGCTAGGGGATAGATACTTTTGCACATACACGTTAACTGTGTGCATGATAGGATTAGAATTCCATCAAGAATGAGATCTCAGAATCTTATTACAAAGAACTTAATGGAGGTTATCAGACTTCAAATTTGTCTCTTGTTTTCTTAGTCACTTGTTTAGGGACAAGCTGAGACATTTTAATCATTGGAGGCAGGTTTATGTCCTACTCATCTGAATGCAGGTGCTTGGTAAGTGTTGAAAGCTTATTCCTTGTAGCAAACTGAACTCAAAAACCTTCCTTCCTCCTTCTCAAATGTGATGAATAAATGATTTGATTACTATCTTTCGATTCTAGTAAAGCTAGGAAAACTGGCTTTTGCCCCTCCCCCTTCTATATAACCCTCTACCTTCCTCCCTCTCTTGCTCTTTATTTCCCCCTCTTCTAAGGCCAGAAGGGAAGTTAACTTAGGTGGAAGGAAGAAGGAATCTAAAAAACAATTTTCTGATATAAAAAAATAATAAAAAGAGAGCATATAACATTTAAGCACTGTGTGTCAACATTCTCCCGTTTACTCATGTCTCCTCAGACACAGGGGCTATCTATTGTTCCATACATGAGAAAAGCTCAGAGAGGCTATGAAACTTGTTCAAAGTCATAACTAATACATGTTTGAGCCACTAATCCAGTCAGATCTGTCAGACTCGAAGTTAAATCCTGCCTGTAATTGATGGCCATGGCTTTATCTGAGGAAATACCTAATAAATGACTGAGTCTTTTCAGTACAAGTATTTCTAATTTTGACTTTGAATCTGGAGGTGGCTTTTACCTTAGGTCTAGTTTTTAAAACAGCAAAGTAGGAATGGAAACTTTCTGGGAATCTGAAATCACAGCAGTTTTTGAAAGACCTACTTTACTTTTCAAATAAGCAACATCGACATTAGAAATAAAATTGTAAGCCATTGGTACTTAAGGAAGAAAGAGACTGTTCTCAAAGCTTCAGGTGAAATGGATTCGAATTAATTTTTGAAATAAAAATTAAATGAGTGCATAGGCACCTACCCAGCCTGCATAGAGAAGCTTCTTAAAAGGCCTCTGTCATGTCTACAGTACAGTATATCCTGATGTACATATATCAAAGGACATCTGTCCATATAACCTTATTTATTTTTTTATTTTAACAAAATCCCTAACAGATGGGCTGGCTAGGAATTTCACAATGTAACATATGACCAATAATTTACTAAGGGTCACACTGCTAGTTAGTATGGTTGATTATATCAGCACACTGCACTTAGCATATAGTAGATATCAATATTTATAGAAGGAATATTGTTCAATTCTCCTTTAACTTATACCTGCACAAAGAACCAGCTAACATACTAGCATATTTGAGAATCAGCTAAGTGACATCTAATTATGCCACTGCACTGTCATGGGTTAAAGATTTAAGGTGTAGAATAGTTTGGGCTAATTAGTGGGAATATAATTTTGACCCTTCTATAGGAGAAAAAAGCCCCCGGCTGAAAGCTTTCATTGACATGGAATATTTTGCTCTATTTTCAAATTCTATGCCACCAGAAAGGAAAATTATTATTGGCCAACTGCAGTTTTACAATAGTTTCTAGGTTTTTGACTTTAAGGAGGAAGAATATAAAGAAACAATTCTATCTAGTTCTCCTTTGCTGGGGGTGGGAGGGGGAAACTGGAGAAAGTTGGGTAATAATCTCAAGAAAGCTTACCTTCAAGTCTCTTCATCAGGTCATTCTTTGGTAAGGAAATTACTTCCACAAATTCTAAACAAACAAACTGCAGGTGAAAACAAAGCTAAAGAACAGGAGGGCCTACCAGAACAACACAAAATGCCTGTAGCCATTACCACTACATCAAGCCATATCCATTGTCAGCCATTGGGAGTTAAATAACATACCTCCATCTCCTGAAAATAAACAGAAGGAGAAAATTTTAGCAAGGCCTGGAGTGGTAAAACATTGGAAGATTTTTGTGCAAGACAAATAAAAAAGGCTATAAAGTGCTCAGAAGGGCTGCCTAACATGCTTTCTGGCCCAGGAGCCAGAAGTAGTGGGATTGAGAGGAAAGTTAAATGCATGCTTGCATGGGACCTGCGAATCTGAGAGTAGCAGTCCCTGGACAAAATGAAAGGTGGAGGCAGAGGGTGGCTGCCTGTCAACTTTAGAGGGAGGGAAGGAGGAAGGAGAATACTTTCGAATTGCTTAAGATGCTGGAAACCTCACCCATCCCACTTACACCTTTTGTTGTTGTTGTTAGTCCTCACCTGAGGATATTTTTACTATTAATCTTTAGAGAGTGAAAAGGAGGGTAAGAAAGAGAGAAAAACATTGATGTGAGAGAGACACATCGATTGGTTGCCTCCAGCATGTGCCCCAACCAGGCTGGGGATGGAACCTGCCACCTAGGTGCTTGGGCCGACACTCTAACCACTGAGCACACCAGCCAGGGCCTTCCATCTTTTCTTAACATCACTTCAATATCTATGCAATCTGCATGAGTGCTAACTCAGAACATATTGGTCTTTGAAAATAAAACAGCTATTCTATATAATAAAAGCCTAATATGCTAAGTGTCCGGTTGGCCATTCAACTGATCAAAGAGTAATATGCTAATGATATGCTAATGCTTCTCAACTGCTCGCTATGACGTGCACTGACCACCAGGAGGCAGTCAACTGATCGACCAGGTGCTATGATGTGCACTGACCACCAGGGGGCAAATGCTCCGACCAGTAGGTTAGCTTGCTGCTGGGGTCCAACTGATCGGGACTAAGCAAGATTTGCTGGAGACGCCCTGGAGTCCTCCCATGGCCCTCCCCGGCTGGCCAACCTCCGGTGTCCCTCCTCGGCCTCTATTGTGCATGGGTGGGGTCCCCTGGCCTGGCCTGCACCCTCTTGCAATCGCAATCCGGGACCTCTTGGGGGAGCCGGTTTTGGCCTGATCATGCAGGTCAGGCTGAGGGAACCCCACTGGTGCACGAATTTGTGCCCCTGGCCTCTAGTAAGAATATAATAGAAACCTGGGTCACAAAATTTATCATTTTCACCATTTTTAAAGTTATAATTTAGTGGTTTTAAATAGATTCACATTGTGCAAACATCAGGACTATCTATCTCCAGAACTTTTTCATCATCCCAAATGGAAACCTGGTACCCATTACTAGTAAACACTAACTTCCCCATCCCTGTATCTCTATTCTGTTTCCTGTCTCTATGAATGCACTGACTCCAGGTATCTCATATTAGTGCAGTCACACAGTATTTGCCCTTCTGAGTCTGGCTTCTTTCACTTAGCACAATGTTTCCAAGGTTTATCCAAGTTGTAGCATGTATCAGCACATTTTATTCTCTTATGGCTGAATGTTATTCCATTATATGAATGTACCACATTTTGTTATCCATTCATCTGTTAATGGAACCTCAGGTTGCTTCTACCTTTAGGGTACTATGAGATGCTATACAAACATTGGTGTACACGTTATCTGTTTGAGCCCCTGCTTTCAATTTCTAGGAGTATAGTTAGGTATATACCTATGAGTGTAATTGCCACATCAGTTTGCTACTTTAAAAATCAAGCATCCTATATAATAAAGGGGTAATATGCAAATTGACCATCACTCCAACACACAAGATGGCCACCCCCATGTGGACACAAGATGGCCTGCAGGG